GTATGCAAGCAGCCCTCACCCCTCCCACCCCCCCCCCCCCCCCCCCTTCTTCTTTCCCCAGGTTTATATGCTGTGCACAATGCCATATGCTACGGAACATCCCTGCGGTCAGTTGGCATCGGCTGTCCTGGCCATGTCCCCTCCCAACTCCTTGTGCCCACCAGCTTGCTCGCTGGTGGGGTGGGGTGAGGAGCAGAAAAGGCCTTGAGAGCTCAGCAACAACCAAAACCGCCAGTGCGCCATCAAAAGTATTTCTCATCCCAAATCCAAACATAGCACTACACCAGCTGCTAGTGAAAAATTAACTCTATTGCAACTGAAACCACGACACATAGATAGCCAATTGTTCCTTAAAAAACTTAATTGTCGTGACTTAGCACATTGCCACGTGCCAGTAGCTTGTTCTAGCTGCAGAAACATAACTGCATTGTTTCAACCTACCTTAAAGGCAGTTAACACATTTCACTGGGTGGTTGGTTGGATGAGAAGGTGTTCAGATGTAGTAGAACTTACTTGAAGAGTGTTGGTTTGGTTGTTCACAGAATCACAGAATTTTCAGAGTTGGAAGGGACCTCTAGAGATCATCTAGTCCAACTCCCCTGCTAAAGCAGGACTGCCCAGAGCACATCACTCAGGACTGCATCCAGGCGGGTTTTGAAAATCTCCAGAGAAGGGGACTCCACCCCCTCCCTGGGCAGCCTGTGCCACTGCTCTGTCACCCCAACTGCAAAGAAGTTTTTTTTGTGCGTTGGAACGGAACTTCCTATGTTCCAGCTTGCACCCATTGCCCCTTGTCCTGTCACAGGGAACTACTGAGAAGAGTGTGGCTCCATCCTCCTTCAACCCACCCGTTAGATATTTGTAAGTAGTAATAAGGTCTCCCCTCAGCCTTCTTTTCTCCAGGCTAAAGAGTTGCAGCTCTCTCAGCCTTTCTTCATAAGGGAGATGCTCCAATCCCTCAATCATCTTGGTTGCTTGGTTCATTATAATTTATCTGAAGTGTAAATGTGTGAGCTGTGCCGCTCCTGATTCTGTGCGAGATTGGCTTGTGCGTGGCTGCGTTGTCTTAGCAGAACGTAGCATCTCATTCAGAGACTTGTGAATGTCAGTGTTAAGAACTTGCTAGAAAAACTTGGAAGAAAACTTGAAGAAAAACTTTCATATCAGTTGTGTTAAGTACTGTTTGCATTGCATTGAAAAGCATCCTAAATCAAATGCTGTTCAGAAGTTGTATGTAAACACAATTTAATTAATCAGAAATGAATTAAAAATGCTTCAGGGTTTTTTTATTTCACTAGTAAGGCGAACTGCCACATCTTTATCAATTAAGAAACGATGCTCATTACAATTTAAGTTTGTACACGTGAGCAACTGCCTTGTGTTTGCTGTACTAAGTTTAGTTTACTAGCATCTAAGTAGAGTTTCTGACTAACAAAATTATTTGGAAAACGGTAACTTAGTATAACTTTTATATTCTCTTTCTTATTTAAAGTTGAAAACTTCTGCAATGAGTAAACGTAAGTCAAAGGAGAGCAGCGGAGCAGATGGAGAATGCATTTCACAGGTTAGTGACATCTTCATTAGCTGACTTTGTTTTTAAGTTATGAAACTTTACCATCCTCTGCCATCCACACCATTGTATAGTTTTTTTACTAGACTAGTCAAAAAGGCACTTACAGATACTTGATGTAATTTCTAGGGTTGTAAATGGTTTTTATAGTTATAGTCTGTCTTTTTTTTCAGCTTCCTACCTGATGTTTGCTTGCTTCAAGTGTTACAGTAACAATCTACTCTTTGGAGTCTTAACAAAAATGGTAGAGGATAATATTGTGCTTTTACAGCCATTTGTGGCAACAGATTTGCATAAATCTACTTTTATCTAGTCAGTTTCTTTATCTTCCAGTTTGTAGGGTGAATCTGAATCTAGGTGACTTCTTTTTCACGCCTAGGTTAGGCAGGACAGCAGCTGCCAAATCGGTTTTCAAGTTGTTGTTGGTTTTTTTTTTTTTAAGATTATTCTTCTGTTTCTCAAAGTGGCTACTTAAAAACTGTGATACAACTTGCAGTGAATTACTTCTGGTTCAGTGATTCCTTATATTTTAGTATCTTTCTTTCATTTACCCATAAAATCCCTTTATAGGAGGAAAACCTTTTCACTTGTTAATTGACCATGCAGACTGTTCAGATAGATTGCTCATTAAAACAGAATAAATCTGGAAATCAAATCATTTGACTTTAGTAGAAGAATAAATACCTGAAAAATCAGGTAGACAAGTACAGCTTACATTAAAAAATAATTCATTTCATAAAGGGAAATTACAGGGGGAGGATGTGCCAACTCGGATTGAGAGAATGGAAAAGCAATGACACAGATGTGCACGATAATGGTATAGTTAGTTGTTAGGTCAAGTGGTCATTCACTTGGACTGAAAGGCAAGGTGCTCAAATGTGATTTTAAAGGAAGATCACTTCATTCACAGTTTGCAATGTGATCTCTGAAATTGTTTGACAGTTGGACACCAAGCGTTATAAAAGGATGGAGTATGCAGGTATTTTGGGGTAGGTTAAATGAGGGACAGGGAGAAGTTGTAGTATAGAGTCCTATAAAATCCTAAAAATTGGGATTAGCCAATTTGTGTGCTGCTAGTCAAGTGGCAGGAAGAAATCTTTTATGATACTGAAGGCTGGCTGTTTGGGAATTGCAGATCCAATTTGAAGTAACAGTTCTTAATGTGGAAAACAGAAGTCAGTGCAGATAGATATCTAGAGATATCCCAAGCGATACATCTGAAATAACTGCATTCACTGTGCAGTTTGAAGGGCTTCAGGACTTCAGTAATCAAGCTGGGCTGACTTTATTCCATACTTTGTAAGCAATATATTAGTGTTATCATATACTAATACAGTATTGATGTATTAGTAGTATTTTATACTACTTCCTGCCCCTCCCTCCAAACTTTTAGGAACAAGGTATCTGAACTGAATCTTCAAAGAAACTATAGATTTGATGCTTCCTAATGTTTGAAGGTAGTCGGCTGCAACCCCCTGAAGGTTTGGGGGGAATAATTGAGTTATTTTAAGTCAGCTGGTAAATGTTTTCTTGTCTATATTACACAATAAGTTAGAACTATGAATTAGATGAACTACTGATGTAATTTTGGTGACAAATGTAACATCCCTTTGGGGTGAATGAAAGAAACTGTAGCAGAAGGGACCAAAGACACATGTTGCTATTGTTGAACTGAATTTTTTCATTTCTGCTGCAAAAGAGTCTTAAATATTCTGCCTACTGCAACTTTATTCTTACTTTCAAGACCCCTACATCATTGATGGTAATTAAAAGTTACACGTTACAGAGTATTTGTAACATAACAATGCATATTTTACTATTTTATTGCAGTAGTTACGTGCTTGGTGCGTTCTCTTGTTTGAAGCACCAAACATTCTTTCTGTCTTGTGTTAAATCTGCAGGTGCAAAAATTTTTACGTGAAAGATTCTGTCACCGTTATGCTACTGGAAAACTGTTCGGGATTGAACGTCAGTACAAGTGAGTAATCAGACTCAAATACTAAGGAATTTCTACTTTAAACACAGTAGAAAAATAGTCAGGTGAAGTCAGAACTTTCTGCTACCTCTGCTTTTCTAAATTATACAGGCTTAAATGACTTGCCATGCAATGCTTCTAAAAATTGTTTGACTCGGATTTTAAGAGTTTTTATACAACTGTTGCTTACTCTTTTGTCTGGCTCTGAATTTTGGATTTCTTGTCCTTGTTTCAAATCTGTAATTCCTGAAACACTTTTTTTTAAACCTCAGAGATTCTTTTAGTGCATATTCTAAGGGTCTGTTTAATGACCTGATGGAGCAAAAAGTTAAATTCTCTTGTTGTGAATCTTTATTTTTACTTCATAGAATCATAGAATGGTTTAGGATGGAAGAGACCTTAAAGATCGAGTTCCAACCCCCCTGCCCTGGGCAGGGATATCTCCCACTAGACCAGGTTGGTCCAAGCCCTGTCCAACCTGGCCTTGAACACCTCCAGGGATGGGGCAGCTTCAGCTTCCCTGGCCCATTTATTCCAGTGCCTCACCACCACCATAGTGAAAAATTTCTTCCTAATATCTCATGTCAGTCTCCCCTCTTCCAGTTTGAAGCCATTCCCCCTCATCCTATCACTACATGTCCTTGTAAAAAGTCCCTCTCCAGCCTTCTTGTAGGTGCCCTTCAGATACTGGAAAGTTGCTATGAGGTCTCCCTGGAGCCTTCTCTTCTCCACGCTGAACAACCCCAACTCTCTCAGCCTGTCTTCATGGGAGAGGTGCTCCCACCCTCTGATCATCTTTGTGGCCCTCCTCTGGACCCGCTCCAGCAGGTCCATGTTCTTCTTATGTTGAGGGCTCCAGAGCTGGATGCAGTATTCCAGGTGCGGTCTCCCCAGAGTGGAGCAGAGGGGTAGAATACCCTCTCTCACCCTGCTGGCTGCACTTCTTTTAATGCAGCGCAGGATACAGTTGGCCTTCTGGGCTCCGAGTGCACGCTGCCGGCTCGTGTTGAGCTTTTCATCAGTCAGCACCCCCAGGTCCCTCTCCTCAGGGCTGCTCTTGATCCATTCCCCTCTCAGCCTGGATTTGTGCATGGGATTGCCCCAACCCAGATGTAGGACCTTGCACTTGGCCTCGTTGAATTTCATGAGCTTTGCCCAGGCCCGCTTCTCCAGCCTGTCCAGGTCCCTCTGGATGGCATCCCTTCCCTCCAGCATGTTGACTGCTCCATGCAGCTTGGTGTCATTGGCAAACTTGCTCAGCTGCACTTAATCTCACTGTTCATGTCACCAACAAAGATGTTAAACAGTGCTCGTCCCAGTATCGACCCCTGAGGAACACCACTTGTCACTGCTCGCCGCTTGGATGTGGAGCTGTTGACCACAACTCTGAGTGCAACCGTCCAGCCAGTTCCTTATCCACCAAGTGGTCCATTGGTCATATCCATGCCTCTCCAATTTAGAGACCACGGAGTCGTGTGGAACAGTGTCAAATGCTTTGCCCAAGTCCAGGTAGATGACACCTGTTGCTCTCCCCTTACCCATCAATGCTGTAACGCCATTGTAGAAGGCCACCAAATTTGTCAGGCACGATTTGCCCTTAGTGAAGCCATGTTGGCTGCTACCAACCACCGCCTTGTTTTCCATGTGCCTTAGCAGAGTTTCCAGGAGGATTTTCTCCATGATCTTGCCAGGCACAGAGTTGAGGCTGACTGGTCTATAGTTCTCTGGGTCTTCTTTTTTTACCGTTTTTGAAAATGGGGGTTATGGTTCCCTTTTTCCAGTCAGTGGGAACTTCACCAGACTGCCATGACTTCTCAAATATGATGGATAGTGGCTTGACAACTTCATCCACCAGTTCTGTTAGGACCCATGGATGCATCTCATCCGGTCCCATAGACTTGTGCATCTTTGGTTCCTCAGCTGGTCTTGAACCTGGTCATCTCCTACAGTGGGTGGTAACTCATTTTCCCAGTCCCTGCCTTTGCCTTCTGCAACTTGGGTGCTGTGGCTAGAGCCTTTCCCAGTGAAGACTAAGGCAAAGAAGTCATTGAGTACCTCAGCCTTTTCCCAATCCTGGGTAAGCAGGTTTCCCATTTCCTTCTGGAGAGGGCCCACATTTTCCCTAGTCTTCCTTTTTTTACCGATATACCTATAGAAGGCTTTCTTGTTGCCCTTGAAGCCCCTGACCATATTTAATTCTATCTGGGCTTTAGTTTTCCTAACCTGATCCCTGGCAGCTCAAGCAATTTCTCTATATTCCTCCCAGGCTACCTGTTTTTGGTTCCACCCTCTGAAGGCTTCCTTTTTCTGTTTGAGATTGTCCAGGAGCTCCTTGTTCATCCATGCATGCCTCCTGGTGTTTTTGCCTGACTTCTTTGTCATGATGCATTGCTTCTGAGCTTGGAGGAGGTGGTCCTTGAATATTAGCCAGCTTTCTTGGGTCCTTCTTCCCTCCAGGGTTTTATTCCATGGTACTCCACCAAGTAGATCCCTGAAGAGGTCAAAGTCTGCTCTCCTTAAGTCCAAGCTTACTGTGCACCCTCTTCACCGCCCTAAGGTTCTCAAACTCCACCAAGTCATGGTCGCTGCAGCCAAGGCTGCCCTTGAGCGTGACATTCCCCACTAGCTATTCCTTGTTTGTGAGACCAAGGTCCAGCATGGCACCTCTCCTCATTGGTTCCTCTATCACTTGGAGAAGGAAGTTATTGTCAATACATTCCAGGAACCTCCTGGATTGCTTATACCCTGCTGTGTTGTCCCTCCAACAGATACCAGGGTGGTTGAAGTCCCCCATGAGGACCAGGGGTTGTGAACATGAGGCTTCTCCTATCTGTCTAGAGAGGACCTCATCCACTCGGTCTTCCTGGTCAGATGTTCTGTAGCAGACCCCTACTGTAGCATCCTCTGTCCCTGCCCTCCCTTTAATCTTGACTCAAAAGCTCTCGGTCAGCTCCTTTTCCATCCCCAGGCAGAGCTCCCTGCGCTCCAGCTCAGATTTTCTCCTGTTTATTTTCAAGCTGTGTTAAAAGCAGATCTTAAACCTTGGATGCCAACATCATGTTTCCTGGAGTAGAGACCCATATTTAAAACAGACCTTCTTCTTGGGGTCGTCCAGATGCGGAGGTTAAAGTTAGGAAGAAGGGACCTATTGTGACAATAATACTATCCTAATATTAATCTTTTTACAAACGCGGGTCAAATTCTGAAAATAACAAACGTGCCTGAAGAACTTGTTTTAAACAATCAATTTTTCCAATAGTAACTTTGTGCAAGTTGAATCACCTGATGTGAGCATTAGTTTCCTTTCCTTTACAGGAAGGAAAATATAATTTGTGTTATTAAAAAAGTGTAGTGTAATATACATGCAGAGCTCACATAGGCACGTTTATTGTCGTGAGAAAATGTATGTCTGTGATGTTAGTATTCTACAAAACCAGCCTCCCCTTTTTGCACTGGAATTCTGAAAAACAGTTTATAGATTGGCTTCTACTTAATATGCTGCTGTTGATGAATTATACTGGAGAGAAAACACAAACAACTTCCCAACTCCTAGTTTTTCCTTCTCAAGGTTTATCAGGGCTCTTGGCTTTAGTTAGCTCTCAAATAGTGAATGAAAACACATGAATTGCTGCATCTGTTCCATGTGGACTCTATTACTCATTTAGAAGCAATTGCATGATGTCAATATTCTAAGTAAAAATAAAGCATATTAAATGTATGCATTTGTAAACATTTTGGAATTGGAAGCGTTGGTAGTTCTTGTAAGTACTTTAAATGTGGGCCTAGGTGATAAGTCTATCTGGAGATAATTTAGAGTTATTCTTTGATCCTTCTTTTGGATGGGAATAGAATATGAACTTGAGGTTTGGTGTTGCTGTTACTGTTCACAAGCTTTGGATGCTTAAATTTAGCATGTAATCAGTTTTAAGAATGTTGTCAAAATGAATATATTCCACTAGATTATTAATTTTTTTACTGATGTCGAGGTCTTTCTTCAATATGTTTGCCAGTCTTCCTTTTTCATGAGCTATAGCGGTATCACAGAAAGCAATCTTTTTTTTTTTGTTGTTGTTGTTGTTAAGAAAGAAATAATTATTGAAGTCTGTCCTTTCATGGTGGAGAATTATAGAACTTTATGAATTAGTGATACTCCTGACTTCTGCATGTTTTAATATTTTAAAATATTTTAAGAGATGTGATCACTCAGCCTTTTGTACTTTATTGCATTACATTTTGCATGCCCTGAGTGGTGGCTCTGAGACCAAGTTGAAATGTATCAAGTTTTCTCTTATGTTCTAAAGATTCTTTGAATTTTTCATAGTTTCAGTGAATGTTGTCTGGTTTGAAGTTTTTAACCTATTGCTGTTGTCAACACAGACATCTGCTGGAACTGCTGAAACGAACTACAGTTCACGGAGAAAGCAATTCTGCCCTCATTATTGGACCCCGAGGATCAGGAAAGACTGCGGTATAAACATGTGTTAAAAGTTTATACAAGGTCAAGTTAAGCATGAGGTAGATAACCTCACCGAAGCCCTGGGAGCTTTTGGAGCTAAATTTTCATCTCTGCCTGTTTTTGAAGAGAAAATTGCTTACTGTTTACGTAGAATTGCAAAAGATTCTAGGACTTCTTGTGAGCTAATTCTGCTGAGTAACAATGTAAAGAAATTGGTTTCCTAACAGTCTTCTGAAACTTCTCAAATATGGAGTTTCCAGTGAATTTGTAAAATATAGTAGCTTCATGTGCAGCTGACAAAAACATGTACCTGTCCATCCTCACAATGACTTGCAGGAGTGTCCATGGTTTTGGAATACTTTGCATGTCTTCATCAGATTTCGTGACATGCTACAGGTACCCAAAACATGTAAAATGGAAATAATTTTATCAGAAACAAGTTGCATTTGTTGTTGGGTGATCTGACTACATCATAGATTCTGCCGCCTTTCAGTGTTTCTGCTATTACAATTCTGCGATGGTTCTTGCCACAGAGGAGTTAATCTTTGCAATTAAAGCCATGTTTTACTTACTCTTTAAAAGTTAACCTGCTCCTACTGTTGGGCCTCTGCTGTAAAAATGACTGAAAAGGCATCCAAAAACTGGAAAAGAAGTAGACTAAGTGATGGATATCTACATAGCTGTTTATAAGTAGAGAATAAGGTACCTTAATCCTGTTCTTAACACGTCAGAGAATATTGTTATCTAAATTGCTAGGAAGTAGAATATTGTGTGGTAATTTTATAGTAGTAGTTGGTAGTTCATAACAAGTGTAGGTTTTGTATTTTAAAGGAACTCCTTTTAGTTGAGGCATGTGAAAGAGGGACGGCTAACTTAAGTGTTACATACTTTAATATTATGCAAACACTTAAGTCTTTTATGTTTACATGAGTATATAATGTGATAAATAGGTTCGCTGTTACAGTGAAAAGTACTAGAGACTGAAAAATGACACAAATTACTTCGGAAGTCTTCCCAAGTGCTAAAGCAAGTGGCCTTCAACCTCTTAAATACAGTTGAATGGAAATAAATTAATAGGTGGTAAACATATCCGTGATACAGTTGACAACAATCATTCTGCCAATTTGTTGATAGCTTTCTTGTTTTACATTTCAAAAACAGTCAGTATGGTTACCTACTTCTGTCACCAAAACTCAAACTATTTTTACTATTTAATTAAAGGTTAAATTTTCTTCCAAACCTTTTACATAATGATAGTTAAGAATGAAAATTTGTGATCCTTCCTGCCAGGATTTAAATAAGCAAATCATGAGGAATTAATGATTTTCTTATTCTACATCAAGTGAAAGATTTTAGTTCTCAAAAAAGGACTGCTGGAGACAAGAAAATTGTATGTATGTGTGTATACGAGCGTAGATGTATGTATACAGACACATAGAGCTGCACATTCTCAGCTGTGGAAGCAAAAGCAAAATAGCAAGTGAACAAAAAGTTATCATTTCATCTACTTACATGTATTTTAATACACATTACTTATGACTTTTACTAAGAACAATTTCTTGATGGACTGTAAATTTGGGATCCGTAAGTTGTATAAGCAGTAGTTGATGTAATTACATGCAATTTAATTGTCTCATGCTTCCTAACTTCAAGAGAAGATTTCTGTTCTATAGCATCTAATGAAGCTGAATACTATACCAACTCAAGAGACAAATTCTGTCACATCTCAAACTTTTAAAGCTTTTTTTGATTAAGGCAAAAGCCCTAGGTATTACCCCAAAAAATTAGTGACTAAAATACTGGAGTTATTTTTGTATTTCCTTCCCTAATAATTCAGCAGAATGAACAAATGTAATCGCTACAGTCATAGTGAATGCGAAGTTGTCATTTTAGTACTTTAGTCTTGAAAATACTCAAAAACAGTGTTACCTAATGAAACTGCACATAGTTTCCTATCTGATAAATCCATTTGTACACCTTTTTTACTGTTAATACATTAATTTTCTTGTAAAGAAATTATATATTTTTTTCCCAGTTATTAAATCATGTCTTGAAAGAGCTCACGGAAATGAAACAAGTTCGAGAGAACCTCTTGGAAGTTCATCTTAATGGCAAGTAATACAGCATTATTCAGGTGTTACGTTATATTCAGTTGTTACATATTGTATATACTGAACAAAAATTTTTGTTTCGGCAGTTCTTATCTAGCCCTGATTATGGACACATTTTCTGTGAGGTCCTAAATGTATCTCTCTGTATAAAGAGAACTTGTTTGCTTCTAATGACTTTTGAGAATGTTAAAAATCAGTTCAGTTGTGAATGAATTGCTTTAAGTAACTTAATACATAAGGGAAATTACTGTCTAGTATTATTTTTTGAAAAGGCTGGAAATGGAGAGAAGCTTCTGGGTAAGTTTCTAGTGACTGTAGATATGGCCTCTTGGAGTGAAGGACAACTGCCAGTTCTTCATGAAAAATCATCCTCTTTCAGGGCTTCTGCAGACTAATGATAAGGTGGCCCTGAAAGAGATCACCAGACAGTTGCACCTGGAAAATGTGGTTGGGGATAAAGTTTTTGTAAGTATCAACTTTATTATACTCTTTGCTTATCTCTCCCAAAAATCCTTGTCTGGAAAACTAGCTTTATAGGATGCAGCTTGTTGAGACTGAATGGACTTTAAGAGTTTATTAGCAAAATTATTAGCTTATTAGCTCAGTCTTCTCAAAGCATTTTCTTTTAAAGTATTTAATAACGGCAGGAGTGAACTGTGGCAGCATTTACCTGTGAAGACCCTGGTTTACAAACACTTCAAGCATGCCAACAAATACTTCTCTACGCAAGTGCTGAAGGTTACATTTTGCTAGGTGAGCGATATTAACGCATCCTGATGCTTTTTCAAAAAACATCAGCTGTGACTTGGAGAAGGAGGAAGAATGGGAAGAGTCTTTTAACATTTACTTCAAGCCTCTAAATGAAACGCACATCAGGCATTCTGAAGAGGTTGTTTGTTTTTTTTTTAGAGGGGTAGGGTATTTTGGAAACACTGGCTTTAACATTTCAAGACAAAGAGTAAGCAAGTTAACAAGCCAAAAAGCAGTATCTTTAGTAAATATGCAACCATGGGGAAATCTATCCTGGCTTCCTAGAGCTCTCATTTTGCCTAGAATTTCTATTAAAATATTTGCTTGTATTGACCTTTTCCCAAAGATAAGAAAGTTATTTACATTTGTACTAAAGTCAGTAATAAAGAGAGTAACTGAAGTGCTTCAGACTAAATTTCACTCATTTGAATGTGAAATAACTTGGGCTAGTGATCTGAGCTGCCCTGGTTGTTGCCTGTTATTCAGTGAGTGTTGTTGAAGGGCCATCTTCTGGTACGACAGAAGGTCCTTTTGAGCATCATGTCCTCCTTTGCTCTCAGATAGGGCCTTCGAGATTGGCAGAGTTTATATAGTTGAGTCATGGGTAATACCGATCCAATTGGCTAAAGCAGAATTATGAGAAGGGGAGAAAGGTGAAATCTCAATAAATGAGATTTATTTTCATCAGTTGCATTTGGAAAACTAAAAAGATTAGTGAAGAGAAACCAGAGAACTAGGTTAGAGGCAGTGTGGAATACAAGATGAAGTGTAGATTGTAGTTGTTAGGCTTTATTATCTTTTAGAAATGCTTCTTAGGCTGTGCTTTGGTTTCTTACTTATTCCAAATGATTTTTAGATACAGAGAATGGAAAACCCTTTCTGGTAGTGAGCTAAAATTTTTCCCAAATACAGCTGCAGTAATAAAAGGAAATAGAAGTATTTAATTTCAGCATAGCCGTTTGAACGAGTTGTCTTTTCAACAGAGAACTAGAACAACCTTTCAACGTCCACAGTTCCACTACCAAAAATGCTGGAGGCAAAACTGATCTTAAATATGCTTAATTTCTGTATAATTTTCCCCATTAAGTTATTGTGGAGTACTGCTTTAAACTCTCAGCCATCTAACCCCTTCGGTTGCACATGGGCATGGAAACATACTGACTTGCATAGAATGTCCTTACTTCTGTCCATAGAAACTTTGCCTTTCTTTGCTTCTGCAGCTCACCTTTAGAGAGTTAAGTTGGCTTTTTTGCCCTCTTTGATATGGCTTGTGGTCTTCAGTTATAGGTATTTCCCATCTTGCAACTTGTGTGCTTCAGAGTGTGTGAATGTGTGTGTAACTGAAGCAGGATGGTCATAGCAGTTCATTGTTTTCTGTCATGAATGTTTGATGCTTTTGCCTATCTAATAAGGTTGCCAATTAAAAAAAGGGCTTACTGATCATTCTCAGTGGAACACGTTAGGTGGCAGTTTTTGCATGTGTGTAGATGGAAAATGAGTTTGCAATAGCCTTTAAGGAAAGATAAACCTACTTGTAAGTTTAACTTATTGTAGGCCTTCTTCCAATCACTAATTTTTGCCTGTCTGAGGCAATTAGTTTGAGGTTTTCAGACTGGAAATAAATGCATCAATGTAGAGTTAACTATCAGTTTTGTTGTCCTGAAGAGGTTATGATTATACAGCGTGGAGTGACAATGTAAATTTTCAAATATGCACTGGTTTTGAAAGGAGGGGTTTAGAAGGAAATGGACTTCATTACATGCCTGGACTAGATGTAGTTATGCAAGTCTCAGAATGACATTGAAAATCTCTTATAAACTTTTTTTTCCCCCTCCATGTAGGGCAGTTTTGCTGAAAATCTGGTGTTCCTACTTGAGGCTTTAAGGAAAGGTAAACACTAGTAGCCCCTGTTCTGAAACTGTGTGTGTGTGTTTGTCACTTGAATGAAAAGTTAGCATATAGGTGCATCTACTTGTACAAGTGGTATGAAGAAATCTAGCCCAAGAATGTATCAAAAATTACAAAATAATGTAAAAAATACGTGATATTAAACAAATATATATGTAACATAACTGATGCCATAAAGACTTGCATGTGATGGTCAGCTATAAAGGACAGATTCTTTTATCGAGATTGAAGCTATTAAAAATAGTGTTTATTTTTTTTTTTAAATTTGATAGAGAAGTCTGTCTTCCCTTGCAACCAAAAATGATGCTTGGCAGAATACTACAAAACCTTACCTATTCTTCAGTGTATTTTTGTTTTTACTGTTGTACCCGTGCACATGTGAAAGGAGGGCTTAGTGAAAAGCTAAAAGAGAATACGTAAAATGTGAAAGCTATGGAGATGGAAGTCCGATGATGATGTTACTAACTTTTGAAATTGCTGCCTCAGGAGATCGAACTAGCAGTTGTCCAGTCTTGTTTATACTGGATGAATTTGACTTGTTTGTTCATCACAAGAATCAGACGTTGCTGTATAACCTCTTTGACATATCCCAGTCAGCACAGACTCCGGTAACAGTTATTGGACTTACATGTAGACAGGTAAGAAACTGTGCTTTCTCATTCAAAGTTTTCAGCAGTTTTAAAGAGACTTCTGTCTTAGTTGGAATGTTTTCTCTTCTCTCCTTGAACTTCCTTAATTTACTAAGAGACTTTTCTCAACTATCGATTTTTCTGAGTTTTGAATTGGGAAGGGGGGTGGGGGGATAATAATAATTTGTGCTGAGAGCAAACTTAAATGACCAAAAACTGCAAAGCCTTAAGTTTTACTGCTAGAGGAGCAGGTTTACATTTCTAAGGAGGCAGAAGGCTGTTGTCCTGTATTACCACAGAAGAGCCACGTTTATCCATGTGGCTGTTTTATATTATACTGTTGTTCACTCTTTGGAGGGGCTTCTGGGCATTTCAGTTTCTTGGTCAGCGGTTGGTAAGAACAGACTTGTATTAACCTACAGTGTTTAAATCATTGTTCTGAGGACAAGGAATTTTTTTTTTTTGATGCAAACACTTCACTTTTTCTATAAAATTAGCAAGTTCAAAATGGATTTAGGATTCACGTTGAAGTTGCTCGGATTTTTACAATGACGTAGGGAACTGTGGACAGATTATGTGTATACTTTGAAATAATTACTTTCTAACAGCATGGAAACTAATACTTCATAAAAAATTTTACTGTTTTTTTTTTCAATAAACTGGATTGGTGATGAAGATAACCAGGTTATGACAAGAAGAAGAAGAATTAAAATCTTTCATCAAAGCCTGAATCTGGGGTTGATTTGGTTTCAGTGATACTTAGCTGGGCAAATTTTTGGAAGCTAATATAATAGTTAGTAGTTGATTTAGTAAATGACAATCTTTTCTTTTGCTTCATTACTGTCCTGACGCTGGTATCCTTATCACCCATTATGTAGAACCCCGTATTGCTCTACTTTTGAATGTAATTAAGGTAGAGTCTTCAGAGGCTGTATCGTGGTTGTGGTGATAGCTGTTGCTTATTTTTTTTAAAATCACTGGTCCCTGTCACATGTGACTTCTAAATTGAAAGGGGTCTTTATATTTTGCACAGTTTGCTCCTCTGTTTACTGTTATCACTCTCTTTTCGGTGAGGAATTTCCATATTCTTAAAGGGTCTTTTTAGTGCAAGTGAAAACTAAAATCAACACACAACAAACCCTTCAAGAAAAAATGACCAACCCAAAATTCCTAGAAACTAAGAGTGCAATCGTTCTGTTCCAGTATAGGGTAGGGAAATAGTGCTGTGTTTCTCTGGGTGGGTGAATCCCACAGCTTGTTTCTGATGGAACGTGTTCTGAGAAAAGTAAGCTTTTCTCTATTATCTTCAACCAACAACTTGATGGCAGACTTGCTTAGTTCTGTGTGACAATCTTAGAAGGTAAGTATTGGCTCTTAAGGTTGGTTTCGTTTTTTGTTGTTTTTTTTTTTTTCTTTAAGCTGGATTCTTTCAGTCTGACAAAAGGCACGTGAAATGACAGCTGCCAACCTACGTAGCTACTAAATAGACAACTTGTCTAGAGCTGTGATAGGCTGAAACATCTTGAATGCAGACTTAAGTAACTGAAATATTTACATAATCTATGGAGAAATTTTGCTGGGTATCCTAGCAACTAATTATCCTGTATGATGTAGTGTATCACATGATTTGGGTAAATGGCTAGTTGTTAGGCGTTTCAAGGCGCATCAATTATAATAATTAGCAAAGGTCTTGTTAGAACACTTTAAGCATGAGAATTTAATAATTGGGTTGTTTAACATGATTTACTTTGGTGTTTTCTCTTGTAGTTTTTATTGTAGCAAAGAATGCACTAAATGTATCTGCTTTTTTAAATTGCTATTTTTCCTTTTTTTTTTTTTTTTTACAAGGATATCCTGGAGCTCTTAGAGAAGAGAGTAAAATCAAGGTTCTCTCACCGACAGATATATTTGATGAATTCCTTTGATTTTAAACAATACATTAGGATATTCAAGGAACAGCTGTCTCTTCCTTCTGAATTTCCTGATGAGTCTTTTGCACAAAAATGGAATAGTAATGTTCAGGTATTTAAAGATATTTGTACTTGGTTTTAGTAAAACTTCTAAAGTGAGACCAGTTTGTAAGTGTAAAGCCTTTACCTAAGACTAGTTATTTCCTTCCACTATTTGAGTTTGAGATAGAATAAATCAAACTATGATAGAGAATCTTTGCTTATTGAAGTCTGGAGATAAGTGTCAAAAAAAAGACCAGAAAGTTAAGGCAAGACACAAAGAATTGTATTGTCAAGCGTAAGCTGAGCTCTTTCTGAAAGTTAGCTAACTGGTATTTTTTTAGGTGAGTCTGAAATGATTTGCTGAGATGACTAAAATATCACTTAAACTTTTTTTAGCATCTCTCAGAGGATAAAACTGTGAAAGACACGCTGCAGAACCTTTTTCACTACACCAAAGATCTGCGCTCACTTCATTTGCTGTTGGTATGTATTTGGATATGTATATAATATCTTCTTGATTTACGGTAATCTGGAAACAACGCTTGTGTTTTTCAAGCCAGTGATCTGAGCTTTACTTGAAACTTCTTTTTATTCAGCGGGCTTTGGACAGTACTGGTTTCTTGCGTGCTTTAGCAGTCCATGCTTTATGAATGAATTTGAGTAGTTCCAATTTCTGTAGCAGTTACGTTGTGAGGGTGTACTGTTTAATTAAAATGGTGATGGGGTTTTGGTATTTGAAATAACTTTTGCCAAGACTTTGCATTTATAAAGCAAAACTGTAGGTGAAATACTTTCAAAATATTCTTTCCTTTCTGAGATTCTTTTTGGTTGCTGCAGAATCCTGAAAATGGCTTGTACTAAAACCTACTTTTTCTACCTTAAAGTCTGTTGTTGCAGCCAAATATTACTCCATTCC